CTCTCTCTCTCTCTCTCTCTCTCTCTCTCTCTCTCTCTCTCTCTCTCTCTCTCTCTCTCTCTCTCTCTCTCTGTGTTCTGAACAGAATATCTGTTCTTCCAGAATTAAAGACAATGGACATATAAGAAAAATTAAGTGATTTCAAACTGGGAATTACATAGGTCTATGTAGAAACCTGAAGGTTTATCTTGTGGTTAACTTTTCTTGGTTCCGGGAGATAAACTTTCCAGCGGCCCGGTCTCTGACCAGGCCTCCTGGTTAGTGGTTTGGTCAATCTGTTTGACGCAGCTGCTCGCGGTCTGAAGTATGAATCACAGCCATACCTCATAACAAGTATGATAATTATTGAAAAAGAACTAACCCGTGGTTCAACAAGAGGTACCATTTAGTAAGATAAGTACAACAGGAAAGCCTGGGGGAAAATAGTACAACGTTCAGAGAATAATGGCAGAGTAGAAGAGCAAGTGATAAATATGCCAAGATCAAAATGGAGAGAGAAACAGTTATAATATTGTATGTTAGTGGACCAGTGACCAACCCTGATTATTTGACAGCCGTAGCGGGAGGAACTGAGAGTTAGTGACCAGGTTATCAGGTTGAAGAAGGAAGGTTTGATATATCCCAACTTGACAGAGGTTTGTGAGGAGCTTAACATGACGTGCTGTGAGGTATTATATCTGAACCATAAAACACGCGAAGGTAGCGACCCAAGCCACAGACAGTGTTGTGGCAAAATGATGGTTGTGGCCTAGATCAGAAGCATAGTTGTAGACCAAACGTGGTTGTGGTCCAAGCTATAAACATGATTGGGGCCGAGACAATAGACATGGTTGTGGCCCCAGACCAGAGACATGAGTGTGGCAGGACGATAGTTGTGACCCATACCAGAAGCATGGTTGTAACTCAGACAAGAGACATGTTTGTAGCAGACCAGACATCACCATGGCTACTAAACTAAGGGGCAGAAATACCAAGAAAACCTTCTGCACAACGTGTGGAGTTGAACAAAGAGACGTAAATTACTGAGAATATTGAAAACAGCTAATTAAAATAATAGGTCTTTGAGAAAGGAGACAAATAGGTGCTGAATTACAGACCAGTGTCATTAAGTACTATTCCTTGAATAACTTGACAAAGAACAATGATGTCTCTAAAGTATATAGAATCGGTAACTGAGAAGCAACATTGCTTCAAGGAAGGAAAAACTTATCTTGACAAATATAATCAAATGATATAATAAATTATTAGAATCCGACAAGAGAGAAAACGCAAGTATTAATATAGCTCCATACGAGAGATTGTCATATAAAATTAAGCTGGGATAAAAGGGAAGCTACCTAACAGGATGAAGATAACATTTTGCCCAAACCCCCCTGCAGTTTTCAAAATATCCCAAACATCACAAATCCAATACCTGAGCCATATTTTAGAGCCAAATTCTGGCTCTCTGCACGTATTCGCAGTTTGAAATTCCGAATTTTTATATCGAAAATATGCCAATTACTGAAAGCGACGGTGGGTCACATTTTGCCCAAACCCCCCTGCAGTTTTCAAAATATCCCAAACATCCCAAATCCGTTACCTGAGCCATATTTTGGAGCCAAATTCTGGCTCTCTGCACGTATTCGCAGTTTGAAATTCAGACTTTTTATTTTGAAAATATGCCAATTACTGAAAGCGGCGGTGGGTCACATTTTGCCCAAACCCCCCTGCAGTTTTCAAAATATCCCAAACATCCCAAATCCGATACCTGAGCCATATTTTGGAGCCAAATTCTGGCTCTCTGCATGTATTCGCAGTTTGAAATTCCGACTTTTTATACCGAAAATATACCAATTACTGAAAGCGGAGGTGGGTCACATTTTGCCCAAACCCCCCCCTGCAGTTTTCAAAATATCTTAAACATCCCAAATCTAATAATTGAGTCATATTTTGCAGCCAAATTCTGGCTCTCTGCACGTATTCGCAATTTGAAATTCCTACTTTTTATGTCGAAAATATGCCAATTACTGAAAGCGGCGGTGAGTCACATTTTGCCCAAACCCCCCTGCAGTTTTCAAAATATCCCAAACATTCCAAATCTGTTACCTGAGCCATATTTTGGAGCCAAATTCTGGCTCTCTGCACGTATTCGCAGTTTGAAATTTCGACTTTTTACATCGAAAATATGCCTATTACTGAAAGCGGCGGTAGGTCACATTTTGCCCAAACCCCCCTGCAGTTTTAAAATATTCAAAACATACCAAATCCGATACCTGAGCCATATTTTGGAGCCATTGGAATCAGTGGAATCATTGTGAAAGAGTCAGCATCAGAAAGGAGAGGGGACGAGGTGCACCGCAAATTGACTCATTGCTGAAGATTAAGCCACCCAAGAGGTGGCACGGGCATGAGTAGCCCGTAATGTACCGCAGGTATTGGCAGGCATGATACATTCATGCTACTTTTCACCGATAAGGCTTAGCCTCTTTTACTAATTGCGTTAACTCGGTCAGTGTGTGCTTAAAACTGGATGATGGCACTTTAACAAAGGTAGTTAAGTCCGAAACAGTACACCATTTCGAGATCAGATCTGATATAATCATAATATTTTTAGTATTATTACACAGGACTCGAAATATTCCTTCCTTCCTTCCCGCAAGCACTGTTAGGGAAGAAGTATTAGGAAAGAGCACACACTCCCTCTGCCCGTGGGTCAATAAACGGGGAAGTTGGCCATCACGCGCGGCCTCTTACACACCTTCTGCTGCTCTCACTTGACCAATGTTTTTGTCTCTCTTCTCTCAACTCCCCTTTGAAACTCCTTTAGTGCATATCCTCGATAACAAAATATAATATAAAATACCTATTATGCTGCCTCTAAAATGCGGTAAAGTTTAGCTATAATTACAAAATAAGTTTAATTTAATTGGTGGTTAACAAAGAATTTTAGTACTGGAATGAGTTGCACAGGTAAATTCAACAAAAATATGTCTAGGATAAAGAAACTGGTCAGTATTGAAACAGAATGGAAGAGATCGAGCTTGGCTCGATCACTAGTAATAAGGCGACAATAACAGCACAATTTTGTCTGAATTTATATTTTGCCAAAATAAAAAAAAACACAGAAATGGGCATTTAATCAGATTCGATGCCAACAGCAGTTGTAAAAATCCGGGTGTCTGGCGGCGGACTTGTACAGCACCAAGCAGCCTCGGGGTTTGGGAGGCGTAGGAAGGAGAGGAGTCTCACTCGATGCCTGATAGCGGGAAATTGGGGTAATGGGGCTTTAACGGGGGTTTTATGGCATGTGTGTTTCTGGGAGGGTAATGGAAGCTGCCTGTCGTCCCCACCCCACACCCGCCTCCCTTAATGACACCCACACCCCACACTTCCTGATTTCTTTTATTTTTGGGGTGGTGTAACAAGCTGTTTTCTGGGGTTTATTTCGTTCTATATTTTCTGTGTGCTTTAGCTTTTGGTCCCTTACTGTGTTTGTGTAATAAAGGGGAGAAATAATGAACAATAGGAGCTTTGAACATCAGTGATGCGTGTGAACCATTACCTACCCTACTATGATATGTTCTATAGTTTATTTATTTATTGGATGAGTAAAGAGGATCGAGAGGCGCATGCTAAGAGAAAAGTTTGGAAATGGGAAATAGTACGAGTTATAATAGGAGGCGGGCTGTCCGCCTTGCTGACACAATGTGTGTTGGCAGCTAAGCTAAGCTTAGTCAGGAAGACTAAATCAACTTAGTCAACTCTTTTGTCAGGGAACTGTGAGTGTGTGAGTATTTTTACGTGTATTTCAGTATATATGGATGTCTATAGATGAATACTGTGTAGCATTCACATATACACACTAAGATGCTTTCAAACATATTTTGATGTTCTATTTTAGGATCTTCATATTTTTATTTTTATTTATTTACTTATTTATTTATATTTATTTTATTTATTTATTTAGTTATTTTTAAGAGGGGAAAGGATTCCGGATCAGTATCCCATATAGGAATTATATATTGTGGGGCTAGCTTTTTATTTACTAGATTTTGATCAAGTGGTGGCTCTTTGGTCACCAGCTGCGAGAGCTGGGCGTCTTATCTTTGAGTAATCTGTCTAGCATTGACTCTTCTAACATTTCGATCGTGTTCCACCCCCTGGTGGCATTCAATCGTGGTTTTCAAAATTGTTGATGAATTCAATTGCTGTCTTGGTCCTGTTGGTTAGTTGCGACTATGATGGTCCAGGTTGGCATATTATTTGGGTGACATCATCAGCGTTTGTGATGTATTCTCCGTGTTGGGGCATGTCAGCTGAATATATGTATATATCATGACATCAGTCATGATGCCACCCGCAGGCGTTTCGTGGAGCGGCCAGATCAGTACTCTCCACCCTAGGAGAACAGGCAGGTCTCGGTACCGTGTGCCCGTGTGCTCGCTATTCCGTAGTCATTTTGTTGCTGTTCTGTCCTGTCTGCTGACTTTCCCTGTGGCCAGATGCTCCTCATCCTGAGGTCGTCTCCTGGCTGTCTCAATAAGAGGTGGCGGTGACAAGCGCTAACAACTGATGTGTCTTGTTTAGAGTTGTTATCACATCACACGGGTCCAGATGGTCTTATTGATCAGGGTGACCCTAGTCACGTGTTCTCCATTATGGTCAGAACCACTTCTCTTATAGTGGAGAAGTATACATATAGCAAGTGCAGAACCACTGGTTATATAGTCGTAATGGCTTGGCGTTTCCCCCCTGATAGTTTCTTCCTTCCTTCCTTCCCCCCATTCCTTCCCTCATCACCCACCCCATACTTCCTCCTCTTACTCTCCCACCTTCCCCAACACCCCCACACTGTGGTCTGTCACGCCCCGCCCCTCTGCCGACACCTTCATTTGATTGGTCATTGATGCGAGGAAACTCCGCCCGCTGCGGTCATTCGTTTCCTCTGCTTCAGAGGTCACTCAGACCCTTCCAAGTCGCCTGCTGGTGCAGACTGAGGCCGCTCAGCAGCCGGCGTCATGGGCGATCAAGACTCTACGCAGAAGCCAAAATTCAATTTTAGCATCGAGAGCATCTTGAAGCATGAGTCGTCGAGACACGGAGTTTCGACGTCTTCAGCGGGGGAGAACAGTGACATACAGATCTTACAGAAAATTAGGCCAGTATCGCTTCAGCTGCTGACGAAGGCGACAACTGTGTCCTCTGCCAGGCTCTTAGCCTTCACGCCCAGGTTGTATCCCGAGCGACCTACTTCTTCATGCAGCGCGTCGAGTGATAGTTCCGCCGGCAGCCACTGCTCCAGTCAGTCGACCTCGGCGCCCGAATCGTCTTGTGTGAATCCCGTCCCTGCTGGAAGGTTCCCCGTTCACTGGTCGGCAAGTTCACGTTGTCACCCGTACCTTCCCCGGCCGGCTGCTACACCCGCGGGGAGATCATTAGTACTTCCCAGCTCCATCGCCCTCAGACGCCACAAGCCCAACCGGAAGCCCCGCACGCCCTTCACCACCCAGCAGCTCCTGGCGCTGGAGAAGAAGTTCCGGGAGAAGCAGTACCTGAGCATCGCCGAGAGGGCCGAGTTCTCCGCCTCCCTCAGCCTGACGGAGACGCAGGTCAAGATCTGGTTCCAGAACCGACGCGCGAAGGACAAGCGGCTCAAGGAGTCGGAGATGGAACATCTGACTAGGCCTCTGTACCCGGCCTACGGCGGCCTCCTGCACCTGGGAGGCCACTTTCCAACTTTGCACCTTCGTCAGCCACTGATCTCTCTCCTTGGTTAACATTTGCACACGGTATCTCGACCACACTCTTGCCACTTAAGATAACCTGCAGAAGACCCACCTCGTTTGGTAGTAATTCGTCCAGAGTGGTAGATCACTGCAGTAGTTCGTCAACTGTGGTAGATCACTGCAGTAGTTCGTCAACTGTGGTAGGTCACTGCAGTAGTTCGTCCACAGTGACAGCTCACTGCAGTAGTTCGTCAACAGTGGTAGGTCACTGCAGTAGTTCGCCCACAGTGACAGCTCACTGCAGTAGTTGGTCTTCAGTGACAGCTCACTGCAGTAGTTCGTCAACAGTGGTAGGTCACTGCAGTTGTTCGCCCACAGTGACAGCTCACTGCAGTAGTTGGTCTTCAGTGGTAACTCACTGCAGTAGTTCGTCCACAGTGATAGCTCACTGCAGTAGTTCGTCAACAGTGGTAACTCACTGCGGTAGTTCGTCCACAGTGACAGCTCACTGCAGTAGTTCGTCAACAGTGGTAACTCACTGCGGTAGTTCGTCCACAGTGACAGCTCACTGCAGTAGTTGGTCCTCAGTGACAGCTCACTGTAGTAGTTCGTCCACAGTGACAGCTCACTGCAGTAGTTCGCCCACAATGACAGCTCACTGCAGTAGCTTGTGCCGCCGATGTTTGTAACCCGTCTAGTCACTTGAATCCTATTGAATGTTATAGTGTTCCTGTTTACCATTGTTGAGTACTGCCTGTTGCTTGCCATCTGGCTGCTGTTATGTTACCAAATAAATATTTTCACACATGTGAATGTTTGTATTTCCTCAACATATTTGAGCACGTGAATAGAGCAAGCACAAGCTGCAGAGCTAACATCGCTCAACAAAGGCAGTCTGCAGTCAACTATAAGCATAATAATTTGATACTGCCAATATTTAAAATTACAAAATATATGTATAGTATTCCAGTTCAAAGGGGCTGACTAGATTAAACCATACGGCGTCAGGAATTACCACAACAACAACCCGTAGCTGACTCTTTTTTTTGTTATTTTTACCCCTGAAGTTTAGGAATTGTTAATAATTTGTTTGTGGTATATGTAGTGTGTGTGTGTGTATGTGTGTGTGTGTGTGTGTGTGTGTGTGTGTGTGTGTGTGTGTGTGTGTGTGTGTGTGTATGTGTGTGTGTGTGTGTGTGTGTGTGTGTGTGTGTGTGTGTGTGTGTGTGTGTGTGTGTGTGTGTGTGTGTGTGTGTGTGTGTGTGTGTGTGTGTGTGTGTGTGTGTGTGTGTGTGTGTGTGTGTGTTTTGTGGTATTATTTATGGTGTGGTGTATGTTGTGTGTTGTAGTGAGTGTCGTGTGGTGTATGTGTTGTGATATATGTTGTCTGTTGTGGTATATGTTGAGTGGTGTGGTATATTTTGTGTTGTGGTATGTGTTCTGTGGTGTTGTGTGTTATGGTGTGTGTTGTGGTATGTGTTCTGTGGTGTTGTGTGTTATGGTGTGTGTTGTGGTAGTGGTGTGGTGTGATGTGGTAGTGGTGTGGTGTGATGTGGTACTGTGTGGTGTGTTGTGGTACTGTGTGGTGTGTTGTGGTACTGTATGGTGTGTTGTGGTACTGTGTGGTGTGTTGTGGTACTGTGTGGTGTGTTGTGGTACTGTGTGGTGTGTTGTGGTACTGTATGGTGTGTTGTAGTACTGTGTGGTGTGTTGTGGTACTGTGTGGTGTGTTGTGGTACTGTGTGGTGTGTTGTGGTACTGTGTGGTGTGTTGTGGTACTGTGTGGTGTGTTGTGGTACTGTATGGTGTGGCACTACGGCCGTAACGAGGATGGTATATGACCATGGTAACATTATATATATATGACCAGGACGTGGGTCACCTAACTCCTAGGCTTGAAGTCCCAGTTAGGTACCTTACCTTGAGGTGAGGTGGTTACCTTGAGGTGATTTCGGGGCTTAGCGACCCCGCGGCCCGGTCGTCGACCAGGCTTCCCTGTACCCGGTGTGTACCAGGTACCGAGTACCCGGTACACTGGTGTGTCTCTCTGGGATCCTTCCTTATAGTGGGTGCTCAGTAGTTTGGTTGAAAGGATTGCGGACTTCCTCTTTACCAGGAACAGTATATACGATACTGTGGTATGTTGGGGAGTACCAGGACAGTATATACGATACTGTGGTATGTTGGGGAGTACCAGGACAGTATATACGATACTGTGGTATGTTGGGGGGTACCAGGACAGCATATACGATACTGTGGTATGTTGGGGGGTACCAGGACAGCATTTGCGATACTGTGGTATGTTGGGGGTACCAGGACAGCATATGCGATACTGTGGTATGTTGGGGGTACCAGGACAGCATATGCGATACTGTGATATTAAGCAGAATTCATCATACGCAAGGAGACAACGTGGTAAATTATAATTAAAACTATAATTAAGGAATTATGTGTTTCTTAATGTTTCTTATGGTAAAAGTAAGGGTTTTAAACCTCTTGTTCCATTTGGGAGGCTGTTCCATATTTGATGACCCTGATCTTGTGTGAGATTAATTAATAGGACTGAACCAGACACTGAGAACGTTAGAGAAACCTATTTCTTATGAGGTGTTTGTGGGGTTCCGTTATACACTTTGACAACGAGGTGTTTGTGGGGTTCCGTTATACACTTTGACAACGAGGTGTTTGTGGGGTTCCGTTATACACTTTGACAACGAGTTTTCAGTGTGATCAATACATACGGTTTACTGTAGAGAGCCCAGGAAAAGGTGGGCAGAGTTTCAATGCTCATTATGTTTAAAACGATTTGAATAATGTTGCGGTATGTTTCCTGAAGACGATAGTCATTATGGTTCTGATTGTTAACTATTGATTAGGTAATAAGACCTTTCAAGTAGTTAGTGGTTATTGGGTCTCTGTACACTCCAAGAGGTCCCTGCTTGCCCCTACACTCCTGGAGGACCTTGCTTGCCTCTACACTCCTGGAGGACCTTGCTTGACCCTACACTCCTGGAGGACCTTGCTTGACCCTACACTCCTGGAGGACCTTGCTTGACCCTACACTCTTGGAGGACCTTGCTTGACCCTACACTCCTGGAGGACCTTGCTTGACCCTACACTCCTGGAGGACCTTGCTTGCCTCTACACTCCTGGAGGACCTTGCTTGACCCTACACTCTTGGAGGACCTTGCTTGACCCTACACTCCTGGAGGACCTTGCTTGCCTCTACACTCCTGGAGGACCTTGCTTGCCTCTACACTCCTGGAGGACCTTGCTTGACCCTACACTCCTGGAGGACCTTGCTTGACCCTACACTCCTGGAGGACCTTGCTTGACCCTACACTCCTGGAGGACCTGCTTGACCCTACACTGGACCTCGAGTTATCTTCAATACCTGTTCATCATCTGACAGCAAACATGTGAGTCCCGCCCCGCAGCTGGTCTCCCAGTCGGAATGATGACGCGTGCACTAATTGCTTCCTCAGGTGGGCGTTGCGAAGAAACGGCAGGAGGTTTGGGGACGCTCTCGTTTATGTGGGGTGGAGGTAAACCATAGTTACCCATGGTGGGGGTGACGGAGTGAGGTAGGGGTGGGGGAAAGTTTGGGGAGGGATGTGAGGTTGGGGGGGACGGAGGGAAGGAGAGTTTAGGGAAGTGGAGTTTACAGGATAGTTTCTACAACATTCTTGCAGGTTTTTGGGTAGGAAATGCTTGATGTGGTCTGGCCAAGACGCCTCTCAACCGCCGGGAGGAAAAACCCGGAGTGTCATATGGAGTAACGTCACGCCTGTTGGGCGGGATGTGTACGACACGCCTCCGCTTGTCCCCCGCTCTCTTTAGCGCTAATTAATAACCGTGTTCTCGGCCTCAATCGTGCTCAAACTGCCGGAAAATTTGTTAACAAGGTGCACAAGAACACTTGTTGACTCGGCTTCCCTTGCTTGTGAGGGAGGGGAGGGAGTACGCGTTAAGGCTGGGGAGATGGGGGGGGGGGGTGACAGACTGACAGGTAGTCGGATATGTTGACAGTGAGACGAATGTACTGACAGGTAGACGGAAAATGGAAGCTACCATAATGACAAATAGACAGGGATATAGGAACAGGTTGGTAGAAATACAGACAGAAGGGCGAAAAACAGACAGGGCAAACGGAAGCACAAAACGGACTTGGTTGGTTGACGGTTGACGGGAAAACGGGCAGGTGGAATTATTATACGGTAAACCAGGCGGTGTAAGAGACAGGTGACAGGATATTCGTCATATCGGAAGAAAGCTGATATGTGTGTGTCAATCATAAATTGCATTGTGAGCGGGTTCACGAGCGGACGCACACGAACAGGCGGCCAGAGCGTCGGGCGGACAAGAACGGACACAGAGAGGAGACGCAATACAATACAAGCAGATACACGTAGAAAACGGACACACACACACACATAAACAGGGGTGTACACGGGAACTGACACGCAGACTCTACACCCGCATCCTCTTCCAGAATTTCACCTCCCCATCCTTTCCAAACCCTTTGGACATCAAAGGTCAAGCTCAAGTCAGGGGTCACTCGCGCGGTTACAATGATCTGTAGACCGGCAAATAAAGCACTTCTTAGTCATTCTAGACAGCTTAATTTCAGCAGATGGTCACTATATGTAAATATTCCTTGGAACTCTAAGAGTGTAACATTTAAAGTTATTAATTAACCTTGAACTCTCAGTATGGCTTCTGACGATATCGTTCCTTTTTTAGTGAATATTTGTGTTTAATATTTTAATATATACTAGTCATGATTTCAAAGCTTTTTAATGATATTCTCAATTAACAAGAATGAATTAAATTAATTAAATTTAATTAATTAAAGACTAATTTTGAAAATTAAGGAGTTGAGGATGTTTATGAAGACGGTATAAGTAAGGTGTGTGAGGAGGTAAAGCAGTGGTGGTGGTGGCCGTCACACCTGCACCCTGCCGCAGGTGTGGCCGCAGGTGTGGCCGGGGGTGTGGCCGGGGGTGTGGCCGGTGTTGCCGGGGGTGTGCCCGGGGGTGTGGCCGGAGGTGTGGCCGGAGGTGTGGCCGGAGGTGTGGCTGGAGGTGTGGCCGGGGGTGTGGCCGGTGGTGTGGCCGGAGGTGTGGCCGGGGGTGTGGTCGGGGGTGTGGCCGCAGGTGTGGCCGGGGGTGTAGCCTTAGGTGTGGCCGGGGGTGTAGCCTTAGGTGTGGCCAGACCAGTGATGGTTCTCCTCCGCGTGTACATAACCATATTGGTGATGGGTTATGCTTTGCACTATATATATTGATAGCGCAGAACTAGTCAAGAATATCATACAACATCTTGAGTGCCAGAGAATGCCACGCAAAGACAACTGAGTAATTAAGACTAAACGTCTCAACGATAAAAAATAGTTATTATTACATATTAGGTGAACGCTGTTCTTGGTCCACAGAATATTAGGCTATATTCATAGATAATTCGAGTGTTAATTAGATAAAATAGATCCTAACTCTTTGTTATTAGATAAATGAGTCCTAATATGGTATATTGCATGAAGTTTTAGCCGCCATAGTTAGTTTAATAATATCAAGACTGTAAGGAAAATGAAGTGAATCAGACTTATATTTAAGTCTTGCACATTAGAATTAAAAAGTGGCTCAATAAATAATAAATAATGAGGAGTAATTCCCTAGATTTAAACATTGGCTAGGCTAATACGTGTATATAAATGTGAAGCGAACATTGGCCCCATAAGACTT